TACTAACAAGAGACATTGTTGTAACATTTTATTGGATGATATGGTGTTTTAACTCTGCATCATTAATAACAACAAAGCGAAATAAGAAAACCAAAAGTGTAACAATTTCAGTCTTGCCTGTGTATCAATTTGCTGAGATACAATTTTCCATTGAATGAGCGATATACTTTTGAATATATCTACTAGTGTTGGGACGATTATTCGGAATCGAGAATCGGAAAAATCGGAACTTTTTGGGGTATCGGAAAAATTTGTGCCTATTTTCCGATTCCAAAAACGATTCTTTTACATTTTTAACTTAATTTTCCATTATTGGTACTAATGATAAATATTTATTGTTTTTAAATTATCACTAAAACTAAAATCATGATAACATCAAAATACGATGTAAATTTATTTTACTTGTATGAAGAGAAACAAAAAAAAAAAACTTTGCATAAATTCTCTAGGTAACCTTTAAAAGAATGCAGTTGATTTACAATGTTCCGAAAAATGCTTAAAAATTAAATAGAACTTTTTTGTCAAGAAAAATACTTTCAAACATCATTGTTGTTATCACATAACATATATGAGTTAACAGTAGGACCTGAATCTTGAAAAATCATTGCTATTCTAAAAAAAAAAAAATTGTCAAAAAAATTCTTTCAACTACAGATATTTTGTACATTTTCCTTCCCAGAAAATGATGCAACGGAAAATTGGACACCGGAAAATTAGCAACAGAAAATTACGTCAACCATGAGCCAGTCGAGACTGTCGGATCTGACTGTGCTGTCCATTGAAAACGAGCTTACAAGACAAACAGATTTTGACGATGTCATTGACCAGTTTGCCACAATGAAAACATTCATTCTAAGACCATAGTATTGAATGTCATTCTTTTGTGTATTGCCGTATTTTGTATTTAGTTGTTCTGAATGTGAACAGTTGCATTTTAAAAATCTTTTGATTTGAACTGATTATTTTGTGGTATTGGATTTTGTCTTGGATCATACATGTAAACAGTAACGTACCGGTCAGTAGAGTAAAGTAGAGGTAGAGCATGTATGAAAATTTAGCTCCAGCTAATCATTCAGCATAGGGTGAATCGGGGTCATTGGGGTGACATTTGAGCGGACCGCCCCGGGTGACGTTTACTCTAGCTACGCCACTGATGTATGTGTCCATAAATGCGCAATAATGTCCTCTGTTATTTGTTTTCAAATGATATCATGGCCGCTCAATCAGTTCTCGAAATATTCATTATGGCTGTATAACGTTCTGGACAGGCCCTGTAAAATTGGTTAAATTTCTACGCACACAAAGTTTTAGCATTAGAAGACATTTTCAGTTTGATTTGATAGAGGAAAATAGAAATAAGTGTCTTTTTTAGGATTTCGTTCAGTACTTGTTCAAGCAATAAGGTCGACCAGATCACGGGCAGAATTTTCAAGCTTCCTGTAAACAATGATAGGTTTGTTGATACCAGGAGTTCAGTGCACATGCGCATCTGTTTACTTCAGTTCATCTGCATTTTTTTACATTTTGTATTCAATGTTGATTGAGAAAAATGTAAAAACCGTAATGAATAATATCCTTTGGCAGAATAAAAAGGATTTCTTTCATTTGAAATTAATGGTTCAATTTTTGCCACATGATCACACTATTAGTGGAATTAAAAATATCAATAACTTTTAACATAAACAAATGAACTGTAATAGGTTTTAAAAACGTTTAGTTGTACCGAACAAAAGATAAAAAGCCCGAGTTCGAAATCTGATATTTTTATAAGTTAATCTCTGAATTTTTGGAATCAGATGGATTCATTACGAAGCTGGTTTCAAAAGTTCACAGGCTGACTATTAAGGAGTGATGCTAGAACCGTGAAATTTTTCAAGTATTAATTTCAACTCTTCTTATTAATAATTGCATTGTTTCTTTCCAGGTAGGGGGAGGCTGGCTGAAATTTTCATAGGCTGACTATGAAAGAGGGGTGCTAGAGCTATGAAATTTTTCATGTATTAATTTCAACTCTTCTTATTAATAATTGCATTGTTTCTTTCCAGATACGAGGATGGGCTGAAATTTTCATAGGCTGACTATGAAGGAGGGATGTTAGAGCTGTGAAACCTTGCATGCATTAATTTCAACTCTTCTTTTTAATAACTGCATTGTTTCTTTCCAGGTACAGGAGTCGGCTGAAATTTTCATAGGCTGAATAAGAAGGAGGGGTGCTAGAGCTGTGAAATCTTGCATGTATTCATTTTAACTCTTAGTAATAACTGCATTGTTTCTTTCCGTGTAAACCTGTCTGTTGAATGAAAACTTCAAAAGTAACTAGTAGCGACTTTTCTTGAAAATGGACAAAATTTAGCATTGTGGTGTTATTAAGTACCTGCAGAAAAAGGGTTTAGTCCCCAAGGACATTCACGCTGACATGGTTGCTACATTAAGGGATGATGCTCTAGCTCTATCAAGAGTTCAACTGCCACCAGCAAGGAAAACATCGATCGTGTTCACCACATTGTTATGGATGACATGCGATTGACGATAAATCAAATAGCCAATGCTATTAGCATATTCTGTGTGAGAATATGCTGCACAATGAACTTGGCATGACGAAGGTTTTTGCACGATGGGTGCCATGTTTTCTCACACCTGATCAAAAGAGCATCCTGTTGGTTAAAACAAGTTACCAACAGCAGATATGACGTCATTATCACTGCGACACTAGTTCTCAGACAAGTGTTTTTTTTAATGTTGGGGAACAGATGACAGTACAATCAGGAGAATAGGAAGTGTGAACAACCAGTTCAAAAACACAGTCACGGACAGCAGCCATTGAAATCAAAACCCTTTTCGTCAGGATCAGAAGTTCATCAAGTACTGAAATAAAGTGCATATATACATACATATATATATATATATATATATATATATATATATATATATATATATATATATATTTCAGAACCATTTTCCAACTTATTCAAGATGACCTTCGTCCTCTCCAACCTTGTAACTTCCTGTCTTGGTGTAACAAGGTACCTCACAGGTTTCAAGTGTACGATTTCATTTTTCAAGTCTTTTTTTTCACTGTCAGGGCTAAAACACCTCTCTCACGTGCCAAACGTCTTATGGATTGAGTTGGATCTTTTCTAATTGATCACTTTAGTTGAAATGATGATCCCTCTTCCTGTTGTGGCCTATATATATATATATATATATATATATATATATATATATATATATATATATATATATATATATTCGTAGACCCCATATAGGTTCCATATCAATCAGCTGAATATCTTCCACAAATGTTGTGTCTGTGCGATCTGTGACTATACATTTGACGATAGAGTGTCCAATGTTTATCTCGCAAAATGCAACATTGGTGGAATTGAGGAAATTTCCTGATGCAGTCACTGCATCGCTGGACCGGTTATGTTGCAAGGATGAGTGACAACAGAATACCTAAGGTCCTCATGTATAGCTAGCTTGACAGTGGACAAAGGACTTTTGGACGGCCGTGCCTCAGGTATAAAGACAAGCTAAAGTGTAACTTTTCAACTGTCAATGTGCCTCATACTAACTAACGATTGAGTTGCCTTGGATTGAAATAACTGTAGATAGTTGTATCAGAAATTTTGAAATCAGTCGAATTGACGAAAGACAATGGCGAAAAGTGTCAACAAATATTTCAAATATGTCCCGAGATCCTCGTTGTTGGCCAATATGTGAACTTGTATGCAGGCCACTCGCGGGACTGAAGTGTCACATACGAGACAAACATCAAAAAAATAATGAGGTTGTCGGAAATCGACGGGAGCGTCCATCACACACACACACACACACACACATATATATATATATATATATATATATATATATATATATATATAACTGCATCCACTTGCAAAAAAGACTAAAAATAATGGAAGCTCTAATAATAAAAAAAGAAAAAAGCCAACTCTTAACAATATTA